GCTTACCAAACAAATTCCGGATTAAATTCTCAGTGCAGAATTCACTGTAAACTGGGTGTGAAAAATTGACCAAAACAATTGTTTATCATTGTTTATGTGCCATATGGCACCATAACTCGACTGGTTTGTTATGATCACATCATCAAAATGCAATCTGTTTCACCGGCAGCATCTTCAGCCAACATAAAACCCTGAAATACCATCAAATAATTTATACGTCGCACTCACAGCTGCATTTCTCATGCCCTGTTTCTCCTTCCAGTCGGCCGTCCTTTCACTAATGATCCTCTCTCTGAGCACTGACACAAAGTGAGTGCTTCCATGAATTCTGCATGCAGCTGAACTGATTTTTGCTGATATGGAGATGAAGAGCCTCAGCCGATGGTCACTCTCCCTGCAGCTCATTTAAGGTTTATTCAGCAACAGCGTTTAGCAATTAGCATCCTTGATCTTGTCCTTTTTTTAGACACACCCTGCTGTGTATGTGAATGCTGGTGTGCTCCATCTATCCCTAACCTTAACCTCAGCGACCAATCAGCACTGCAGTTTGGGAGAGGCGGGAGGGGATGGAGGGGTGGTCAGGAGAGATAAGGTTTAGCTGATGCACAGTACTGTGCAAATGTAAGAGATATCCTTTATCCAGATATCCATCCTTTTTAAATTTAGTTTATACATTCAAAACTACCACTAAGTGCTAGTTATTCATTTATCAGCGTTAAACTAAATAGAACATCACATTTTCAGTATTTAGTGTGTCACTCTTTCCCTTTACAGCTTCCTCAAAGAATCTGCAGACACACCTCCAAAGTTCAGTCTTAGAAGCTGGTTGATCATTTTCTGAAGTAATCAAACACATTCAGTGGTGTTGAGGTCTGGACTCTGGGGTGGTCAGTCCATCGTTCAGCTTCTTTGTTTGATGTGTCCATCTCCTTTTCTCAGTGAGGTTCTTCTTGACAGCTACACATCCTTTCAGACCCACAGCGCTGAGTCGTCTTCTCACAGTGGAAAGATGGACAGAAACACCTGTGGATGTTTTCAGATCTGAAGCAGCTTGATTTTCTCCTCTCTCAGAGATGAAAGCTTTAAGTGCTGTTTATCTGATGGGGACAGTTTTGGTGTCTACCAGGTCTTCCAGGTGGTTGTTAGGAGTCCCATTTTCTCTGCAGATTTAAACATTTTATGAACTCCAGTTTTGGAAGCTTCTGTTTTTCACTTATTGTTTTTTTTATTTCTTCGTCCTTATGCATGTAGATTATCTCATATCGAATCTCCTCAAAAATATCTAAAAATGTATAAGTTGTACTTATTCGCTGTTTTAACTAGAAATGAAAGAAATGAATGATGGTCTTTGACTTTTGCACAGAACTATATAGGCACAAAGAGGACAGCACTACATACAGCCTACACAAATGCCACATCTTACATAGCAAAAAAATAATATATATAAATATAACAACGCGTCAGTAGAATCTGTAATGAAGGCAGAACATCAGGCAACTAGCAAAAGTGATCTTCTGCCTACTGAAAGTGCTCAGTACTCACTGCATTTTCCTTCCATTTTAATCATCACAAGGAAGCTTAGGGACACAGACTTTCCAGCTTAAGCCTTCATCAGCATGCAGCTGTATAATCACTTGTGCTGAAAGGGTTAAGCAGATGATCACTCCCTGCTCTGACATTTTCAACCGCTGTCTTAATTGAGAACGTTTCGAAAAGCTCTGTGTCATTTCAAAGTGAAAGCAATTCATTAGAACAAACGACCAAAAGCACAACGTCGGTGTTATAATGAAACCCTGTACGTCTGAAATGATGTTTTACAGGACATGGAAAAGCATTCTTAACTTTAAAGGGTCCAAATCCAACATTTTTCTTCCCTGCTTTTCTCCCACTCACTCCATATGTGTGGTTTTATGTACTGAAAACAGCCGTGCTTCATCTTTACATTACCGTTTTCCAACCTCTCCTTAACCCTCCTAATTAAAATGGTTGTTTCTGGTTACTGCGCCTTTAAGATTGATATATGTAAACTAGCTCTGTTGTGATTGGCTGCTCTGTATTGTGCTTCATTCAAAATGCAACCTGGGCTGAAATGCGCATTATAACGTCAGTGTGAATGGGCGAGGCCACACGGCTTAAGGGTGAATATGTGGATGTATGTAAGTGTGTTGGCTTTTGTGACAGCATGAAAACAACAAATTCAAAACAGGCTGTTTTTGCAGGCTAGTTTCTATATTGGGACTGAATCGAATGGACAGTGAATGGAATACGTGGAAACTGACAACGTTTACATACTACATCAGACTCTTTTATGTCACAAGGGTGAAGAAAATGAACATTTCCATTATATGGGTGTGGCATGCCCCCGCCCCCTCCCCACTCGCGGCTCTCTCCCTGCCGTCCTGGCCAAGGTTCGTCGCCGCTGGGTGTTCGGGCCCCGCCTTCCTGCCGGCTCTCGCGGCCGTCACTGTCGAGGCCCGGGGGGCGGGCGCATGCCACAATGGGCAAGTATGTTATATAATGTACATCAATGTGACCAGATTGATCGGAATTTTGGACCATTTTTATTGGTCCATTTATCATAAACTGTAAAGCCCAACTAGAGATGTAAAGGCTGTAGACAAAAAAAGCAGTTATGAGGTTTTATTATGACAGTGGTGATATGAGGAGGTTAACAGCTTTGCCATGACTTTCCCCACAATTGCAGCCGAGCCAGGAAGGCAGGAAGGAAGTGCTTCCTGTAGGGAAGACCACCGTGTGCTCTCACAGCCACTTCCAGGACAACGTGTGTGTGTGTGTGTGTGTGTGTATATATGTGCCTCTGCACTCTCATTAAAGATGTAACTGTGACCTTCCCTCATGTTCGCACTCTCAGGCTTTATATAAATGTTCTCCTGTTGACACAAACGTGTGAATGATTCAACACATCCACTTCAGGATCCATAGGTGGGAAGCTTCCAGTACTGGGAAGAGGATGTTTTTCTAAGCGGATCTAAAGCCAGCTCACCCAGACTCAAATCCCAAACACATCGCCCAGCGAGCCAAAGCCACAGCAGAAACAGGACTTAATTGTACTATAAATGTCTTTTTTTTTACTAATATACTGTATATCGCTGCTGTCGGAAGAAAACCTCTCCAATTTTGTCATTTTTCAGTTTTTGATATAATTTGAAAATGCCTGTTGCCCTTTACATCGTGTATAAATTTCATGAAGAATGGACCAAAAGAAACGGCCCAAAATGACTTGGAAAAACCTCTGGTTCCATTGACTTACATTAAAAGTAAAGTAGTTTTTTTTCTTCTCCTGTAAAGTTACTATTTTGGAGTTTTTCTTCCAACAACAGCAATTTTTAAGTTATATGTTGACAAAATGATTCCACCAATCAAAAAACAGAATGCTTCTTTTTTCCACTATAAAAGTGCAACTAGTCACAGAACGTAGTCAGCATGGCAGCTTTTACAAGTGCAAATTGCTTATAAACACAGCTCTTATGGCTGTGTCACAAAATATGCCCTACCAACTATCAAGGGTGGACTAAGCACAATACTTCTGCACTCTTGATAAAATAATGCACTACATAGTTAGCATGAGTACAGTACCTGTGTACTAGAGTAAAAGTACATGTACTATTGGTGAAATATTACTTATGTAAAAGTACACTTTGTAAAAGTATATAATCCATATTTCCACTTGAGTAAAAATGCAGAAGTACTTACTTGTGAATGTATATAATTAAGTATGAAAAGTAAAAGTACTTTTTAAATTGTAATTTTATTAGTTCTATTAAGGAGTGTGACGGTGGATATGAGCAAGTTTTCAAACATAAAGTGCTTTTACTTTTCATACCTTTGCATTTTTACTCAACTGTAAGTATAGATAAACTAATATTTACCAAGAGTACATCTGCTTTTACTCAAGTACAGAAGTACTGTACCCTCCAAGGCACCTATACTATGTAGGGCATGAATTTGAGAGTCTACCATTTTGCAGTGGTCTGAAAACACAGTGTAGAACATCCAGTTCACTCTTACAATCCCACAATGCACCTCAATAGGTAGTGTACAAACAATATACCCAAGCAGACACAGAATACCCACAATGCACTGTGCCATGTACAAAGGAATGTTGCTACTGGGGCAGAGTGATGTACAACCTGTGTAGCGTTAGTGTTTATGTGATCTACGTAATGTTCCATATAGTGCTCTTGATTTTTCGGCCATTTCTGTTCACTATACTAGTGATCTGTATAGTGCTCCAATGTAGGGAATAGTGATTAGGGGCTATTTCTGTTCACTACAATAGAGATCTGTATAGTGCTTCGATGTAGGAAATAGTGATTAGGAGCCTATCTGTTCACTATAATAGTGTTTTATATAGTGCTCCAATGTAGGAAATAGTGATTAGGAGCCTATCTGTTCACTATAATAGTGTTTTATATAGTGCTCCAATGTAGGGAATAGTGATTAGGGGCTATTTCTGTTCATTATAATAGAGATCTGTATAGTGTTTTGATGTAGGGAATAGTGATTACGGGACATTTCGGTTCACTATATTAGTTATTTGTAGAGTCCTACAATGTAGGGAACAGTGATTAGGGGTCATGTCTCTTCACTATAATAGTGCTCTATATAGTGCTCCAATGTAGTAAATAGTAATTAGGGGCTATTTATGTTCACTATAATTGTGTTCAATATAGCGGTCCAATGTAGGGAATAGTGATTAGGAGCTCTTTCTCTTCACAATAATAGTGTTCTGTATAGTGCTCCAATGTAGGGAATAGTGATTAGGGGCCTATCTGTTCACTATAATAGTGTTTTATATAGTGCTCCAATGTAGGGAATAGTGATTTGGAGCCTATCTGTTCACTATAATAGTGTTTTATATAGTGCTCTAATGTAGGGAATAGCGATTAGAGGACCTTTTCCTTTCACTATATAGTGCTCCTGATTTTCCAACACAGGAAACAAACACATTTCAAACACAGCTCCAGCCTTTTTCTTACCTCGATGAGGAAGTCTCCAGTCCGGAGTCCAGCCTGCCACGCCACTCCTCCCTCATCCACAGACTCCAGGTACTGCAGGGCGGGAAAGGCCGGTGTGGGGGTAAACTCCTCGATCGGGGTGTCGGCTGAGGGTCCCCAAAAGAGCAGCACAAACCAGATAGAGAAAAAGGTTATAGGGCAGGACTTGAGATACTCTATACCAAATCTCCACGAGGCCTGGAGACCCTCTGTACTGTTCTTACTGCTTATCTAACACTTCTGAAGTGTACAAGTACAAGATGTTTTCAACAAAGCTGGAGTATCCAGTGAGGATAGAGCCTAAAGTCTATAGCTGAACTAAAATTACGACACTGAAAATCTCAACAGTGTATCTAATATTTCTCATTATTTAGTTTTTTCATACTATTTATAGACAGTTTGCTTGTTTTAAGTCATTTTTAAGTAATCTAGTGAAAGTGTCATATTCCACTGGCAGATCATTTTACTTATTTCAAGCATTTTTTCTTAAAACAACCATTTATATTATTTATTAACAACCAAATGTATGCATTATTTCTCAAAACAGGTAAAATTCTATGAAATGGGTTGAATAATGTTACAATATTCTTCAATCTTATCATGCTAAATATCAGATATACTGACTAGAATTAATATGTTTTGCCAATAAATATTTTCTCCAGTGTTTTTAATAGATTAGTCTCCTCTTTGTCTGGAAAACTCAAACAAACTTAGCCAACACCGTCACTGTTTTACCGCTGCAACCATGAGCAAAAATCACGACACTAATGCAAAACCACATGCAGAACATACAGAGAAGCATGACATGCACATTTGTGAAGTAGCTGCGATCAGTGATGGGACTCTTGGTCCTGAGGCCTCAGAAACAGAGTCACGGCCACAGTGCTGCTGCACTCTCCCTCCACGGCAGTTTCTGTAGTTTCAGCTCAGAGGCAGTGCACTCACACACTGCAGCACTGACATAAGCCTGTCCAGGATTCAGCCAGCGTCCCAGTGGCATAGCACGCTTGCTTTCCACTCACGTGGCAGAAACTGTCATTTTCTTAACATTAAGTTCGGGGACCTTTAGGTGCTGTTAAACATACGTACTGCGTAAGACCGAAGGTATTAAATCCGCTGTAATATCTGTTCATGCCTTATGTTTTCTGCTTTAGACTGTCAAGATATTTCATGAGCAGCACTAATCAGTACCTCATCAAAGGAAGAGTAGCTTCCTACAATTACCATATTTATGATCTTTACATCAACATCTCGTCACATTAACAACGCTGCATTACGCCAAGTTAATGTGGACGGAGGAGATGCAGCAGAGGAAGCACAGCTGAGTCTCAGAAAGACAGCCAAGTGCAGCGGTCACTCAGGCAGAAGGAGAGTGCAGAGTGCAGTGCAGTCCTTGGGCGCTGCTGTCCCTAACGCTATACACATATGGACACACATGCACGTGTATTCCAGTCTATGTGGAATATAGTGTCCACGTCCTTAACTACATGACTGATGTGTTCCTCCTAACCCAGCCCTAACCTTAACCTCGGCAAACACAAGATCTGCTTTGCCCTGTTTTGGGGAAAAAAGGCATTTCCCTTCATGGAGCCAACAGCCAAACCATCCTCTGAGCACTGTTGTCACAAATAACTAAACATATACATACATACATACATGCATGCATACAAATACATAGTATCTCTACAATCCACATTAATGAAAATAACACAGAAACTTGCAGACAAACTAATAAACAAGCCCAAAACAAAGTTCAGCTGCTGATGCTACACAGTTGGGGGATCTGAACTGTAAGTAGGTGTGTATGGGGAGGGGATGAGGGGTAACTGCATTACTGTAGGAGTTAAGATGGGGCAAATAAGCACATTACATGCACTGGAGTGAGGGTGAGGAGGCATCTAAATACAGCTCAAGCACTTGGGTAGGATAAGGGACAAAAACCTTAATAATCACTGGTGTATGAGTCTAAACTGGGTGGGGGGGGCACAAATAATATCATATGCTCGGGTGTAGAGGGCTAACAAACACAACATTCAGCAGATTGAGAGTAGGGGCAAATAATACAGTAAGGGTGGTGAGAGTGGGGGCAAATAATACAGTAAGGGTGGTGAGAGTGGGGGCAAATAATACAGTAAGGGTGGTGAGAGTGGGGGTAAACAAATAAAGTAAGGGTGGAGAGGGTGGGGGCAAACAAATAAAGTAAGGGCGGGGAGGGTGGGGGGGCAAACAAATAAAGTAAGGGTGGGGGCAAACAAATAAAGTGAGGGTGGGGGGGCAAATAAATAAAGTGAGGGTGGGAGGGTCAAATAAATACACATGTACTGAAATAAAGGTGGGGGGCAAGTAAATGTACCACACGCACAGTGAAGGAGGGCAAAAATGCACTGGACACAGCACATGCACTGGAGTGGGTTGGTGAGTGAGAATAATTACCGTATATGCACCAGAGTGAGTGGGGGGGGGGTAAATAAATACAGCACAAGCAGTGGAGTGGAGGAGCGGGCAAATATGCACTGGAAATTAGAGGGCAAATAAAGACAGCACATGCAGTGGAGTGGGTCTGGGGGGGAAATAATTACGCCATAGGCACTGGTGTGAGAGGAGGAGGTAAACAAACACAGACGTAGATGCACTTGAGTGAAGGTGGGGCAAATAAATAGAGCACATGAACTGGAGTGGGTCGGAAAGGGGGTAAATAATTGCACCATACGCACTGGGGTGAGAGTGGGGGCAAACAAATGTATTATATGCACTGTAGCGGAAGGGCAAATATGCATCAGAGATTGGTGGGGCTAATAAACACAGCACATACACTGGCTTGAGTGGTTAAGTAAACATATTACATGCACTGGACTGGGGGTGGATGCAGGGCAAATAAAACAGAGGTACTGGAAAGGGGTGGGGGCAAATAAACACAGCATATAGAGGTGAGGGAGCAAATAAACACAGGACATGCACTGAAGTGAGGGTAAGTGAGGGGCTGATAAACACAGCGTGTGCGCTGTGGGAGCAGAGGGGCAAATAAAGGCAACGCATGCACTGTGGCAGGGTTGTAGGGGGCAACACTACACATGCTCTCATGTGAGGGGGCAAAAAAGCACACCAAATGCACTGGAGGGATAGGGCAAGTAAATACATCACATGCACTGTGGGGTGGGGGGGAAGGTGGTGGCAAAACAAACACACCACATGCACTGTGGGGGTGGGGACGGGGCAGAAAACCACTTCACATGTGGGGTTGGGGGGCAGCAGTGTGGCCCCTCTCCTACCTTTGGCCCCTCGCAGCACGAAGCCGAAGCCTTCATTGTCCTTCTTCTGCAGCACCACCGTCTTCTCGTCGATCACACAGTCGCTGTGGAGAAAATCGCGCGCGTAACGACCGTTAGTGTTCCAGCCGGCCATCCGCATCATGGCCACGGCGGCGGAGCGCGCGGAGCCACGCGAGCGGCCAACACACCGCAGCCACGGGGCTGAGGGCGCGCGCTGCTGCAGAGACGAGTACAGCATCGCGCCGCGCGGCAGAGAGAGAGAGGTTTAATCATGTAGAGGTGCCTTTAAGACGCAGGGAGGAGGAGGAGAGACATAACAGAGAGAGAGGGAGAGAGAGAGAGAGAGAGAGAGAGAGGGGGGGGAGAGAGAGAGAGAGCAAAAGATGGGAGGGAGAGACAGAGGAAGACAGAGAGAGCGAGACAGAGAGAGAGAGAGAGAGAGAGAGAGAGAGAGAGAGAGAGAGACAGAAGGGAGACAGGTACAAAAAGAGCAAGAGAATGAAAGAGAAGGGAGAGAGAGAGAAAGAGAGAGGGGAGGGAGAGAATAAGAGAGAGAGAGAGATGGGAGAGGGAAAGGAGACAGTGAGAGAGCAAGAGAAGGGAGGGACAGAGAAAGGACAGAGAGAATAATGGAGAAAGGAGAGAGAGAGAAAATAAAAGGGAGAGAGAGAGAGAGAGAGAGAGAGAGAGAGAGAGAATGAGAGGGGAGACAGAAAGAGCAGGAGAATACAAGAAGGGAGAGAGAAAGCAAGAGAGAGAGGGAAGGGGAGAATGAGAGAGGGGGGAAAGTGAAAGGAGACAGAGAGATACTGAGAGAGCAAGAGAAGGAAAGGAGAGAGAGAGAGAGAGAGAGAGAGAGAGAGAGAGAGAGAGAGAGAGAGAGAGAATAAAAGAGAAGAGAAAGAGAATATAGTATAAGGAAGCGACAGGAAGGAAGCTAGAGAGAGATGAGAGAAGAACAGACAGAGAGAACAAGACAGAAGTGAGAGAAAGAGAGAAGAGAGAGAGAGAGAGAGAACAGACAGAGAGAACAAGACAGAAGTGAGAGAAAGAGAGAAGAGAGAGAGAGAGAGAGAGAACAGATAGAGAGAACAAGACAGAAGTGAGAGAAAGAGAGAAGAGAAGAGAGAGAGAGAGAGTGAGAGAAAGATGGAGGAGGGACAATAAGAGAGAGAGAGCCAGAGAAAGAAGAAAGAGTGAATGGGAAAAGAGAGAGCGGGATGGAGAACGAGTGTGCCTATGGCTTTACTGGATGGTAGAATAAATTAAATGAATTATCTCGTTGATTAGACTGTAATGAATGTAATGAGGATGCAGGTGAGAAAGTGCTGATGAAACCAAAGCCAACTGTTCATGGTTTGAAGCTTCTCTCAGCCAAACCAGACTCAACACACCTTACTCTATATCATAACAGGACCGTAAAACACCTAAAAACTGGCACACAAGTGAAAAAACATAGACCCTGAATAGTTTGGGAAAGAATGTTGGAAGTTTAAAGTTGGTCATTAATTAAATCAGATATGTTTCCGTCAAAAAAAAAAATATATATACACATTTGCATTTCTTTTCTACATATCTGAAATAAATGTGCAATAGATGCCAATATATGTATATATATAAAAAAAAACTACATGTTCACATTTTTCCTAATATTCGAAATATTTGTGCACTGTATGTCAATATATGAGGTCCTAGTATCAAATTTTCACAACACACACAACACACTTTCTAAACCGCTTATCCTTCTGTGTCGCTGGAGCCTATCCCAGCGGTCACTGGGCAGGAGGCAGGATACACCCTGGACAGGTCACCAGTCCATCGCAGGGCATAAAATTCCCAAACAAAGTAAATTACATGTACACACGTTTCCTCATATACACTACATGTCATTATTATTAGGTCGTAATGTAAAAAACTATTTATATGCACATATTTCCTCATATTTAAATGAGTTCATGTTAATGTATACGATTTCGTAGCACTGAAATTTCGAAATACACACACACACACACACACACACACACACACACACACACACACACACACATATATACTTATTTATTTATTTATTTAATGTATTCACAATATATGTTCATCAAACTCTGATAAACTCCAGCTGAACATTGCCTGGGTTGGGCATCACTCCAGCAAATACGAAGGCTACGTATTTACAAAAAAACTGTAGGCGTTTTGCCACGTGGTTGAGCATTTTCACATCACACTAATTTTATTTCCACTGTGTTAAATTCAGCAAATAATCGAAATTGTGAAGTTACAGAAATATGCAGTATTTAAGTTTGTTTCCTGAAGAAAATGAACAAAACATGTTATTTGACCAGAGTGCCCGAAGTTTTGCATAATACAATTTACCACTTAAAAAGTTTTGATTAATACAATATGTTAATATGTTAAATAACGGCAAATAACCAGTAACTGTACACTAAAATGCGCTGAAGTGTGTCTCTGTAGAGGATGTGTTCCCTTATTTTTACACAGAAAATCAACAAAACATGTAAGTTGACCAGCGGTGATTTCATACTGGCTTCTGTAGCTCAAAGAGGGCCATATTATACTACCTACAGCAGTTCCAGCTTAATAACTGCATCTAACATCACATCTAACATCAGCCAGTAGAGATGCTGAGGTCTGAAATCTAAAAGCCTTGTTATCGACGTTCTTGGCTCAGTGAGGACTTCCAGTACTGTCTTTAACCTTAACCCACATCCACAGTAAAACTAGACCAATATATCCGTTGGCCAACAGGTAGCTCCGCCCCCAGTGCTATGGCATTTATATTACTTAAAGGTGAGTGAGTTTCTGCTGTTTATTCGTGTTTAAGAAGTGTGACAGCTGAGAACAGACACTCGTTTCAGTCAGTAAAACACGGTTTAACTGAAACTAAAATATACAGAGAGGTCCGAAAGTCTGAGACCAAGAGTGAAAAAGCTATTTTGCATTCTTTTCTTTTCATTACAAATGATATCGTCAAAAAACAATGTGTGGGAAAAGTAGAATCTTTGAAATATTTACAAATATTTACATGATTTTCAGAATTTCTCAGTATTTGATACACTTTTGCTTTAATGACTGCCATGAACTCCACTGGTTTGTGCAAAAAGCCTTTGATGAAGTGATCAAATCCACCTGAGAGTCATCTGAAGACGACTTTCAAGAGAAGAGCTAAAAAAAAATAAATCTGACCTTTTTGTAAAAAGACCTTAACGTGGTCATTCAGGAAATCTTGAATTCTCTTCGTTTTACTTCATAACATACATTTATATACAGCTCTTTAATATAACATTTCTTTGCATTTTTGAATTTACTTTCAAATTCTGCTGTTTATTTTTAGGTTTAGACAAAAATGACAGATTTTCAATGTGGTTTCAGATTTCCAGACCCCACCTTCTGTACATCAATGTTATCAGTTATCTGAATTTTAATTAAGCCTAGTCCTGGACAAAACGCGCACAAATTCTACACTGAAAGTCCTTCCTGAGGCCTAGCTGAGAATCCAGCACAGGTCTGGTTAAAGTACATTGCGCGAAGACATTCAGGAACATTATAAAAACCCCTTGTTTGATGCAAAGATAAAAGACGGACTCTACATCAGTCAAAGCTTCTTAAGGGCTGTGACAAACTATGCACTGACGAACCGTGAGCTGAGTTTGCATGGGAGTATTGAAAGCATTCAGAAAGGAGAGAGCTGACTCCTGCAGAATGATGCATGGTTACCATAGCGACATAATCTGCCTGCGGGGAGGGGTTAGTGTGTATGTGAGTGTGTAGGGGGGCACTGTGGCGTTGTCATAGAGGTCATTAACATCCTGGCCTGCTAATCACAGCTCAACCATCAAGACACATTATTTGCTTGTAATGGAAGTGAATTCGTACCTGCGTGCTGTCTGAGAAAGCTCATTTCTTTCCTGTTGTTCTTGAACAATGCCTCATTTTTCCCCCCAATACAGTTACAGTTTCCAACTTCGTGCCAAACTGTACGACAAAGCTGCCAATCCAGGACAACGAAGGTTCCTCCATGGCATTCTTTCAAGCTCTCTATGAAGCTGGAGACTCCATTATTTACGTTGATGATACACCACAAGCATCTAAGACTTAATGCCACAACTAACCAGACTGTTTCCACTAAAAAATCTCTAAAACGTTTTTTGTTCCAGACACTGAAACCTTAACATTAATCAGTACTGATACTGAGTCAATATAGTACTTAGTATGTAGTACAGTATAGCAGCACTACATAAGATTTTTTGTTAAAACTGAAAGAGGTTTTTCGGACCACGTCATGCGTCTTTACGTATTAACATCACATGCACAGGCTCAAAGAGAAGATCAATGAGTCCGTTTACATGCACTCAATAGTCTGATGACTGCAGAAAATCACATTTCGTCAGTAATCCGATGCATTTACATGCATTTGGGTAATCAGATAAAGGGAAACTCCAGGTCTACATGAGTCAGACAGTAATCGTATTTCTGCTTTGCAACTGTCCAGTAAACTCACAGAAGATGTGACGCAAACATAACGTAAAACTCAAACTTCATGCTGTGGCTTTTTTTTTAAACATCGCGCCACTTAACCTGAAACTATGAACATACATCATCTAGAAGATTTAAATACTTCATTTCGTCAAGCATGTATTTGGTTTCATCATCGCTCTAAAAGTGTTTTGCTGCGTCTTGTGGCGACGCTGCTTGCTTATTTCCGGCACTGCGGTCTGTTTTTGCACATGTGCAGACTGAAAAATACGAAAGAAATCAGAGTAAGAGTTTACATGCACTGAGAAAGCAGATTACTGAGCTGAAATTTTCTAGATCTTAGACCGGATTTCTAGACCTTACTCTGATCTAAGAAATCCGAGTATGCTGTTTACATGACCATTTGAATAATCAGATAACTGCAGAAATCTGTTTTTAGAGAAATTATGATCGGATTATTGAGTGCAGGTAAACGCACTCAATGTTGTAGTAGACAATTCACTTACATCCTCTGAAGACACGTCCTTCAACAAGTTTTGACTGAGTTCTCTTGAATATTCTTTCAACATGCTGCAATCATCACATTCATCCC